CTAAATATATGACAAAACCAGAACCAATAAAGAAAGTGCAATGGAGCAAAAAAGTCTCTAAAGATGCATCAGATGTCGAAAGATTTCTGAAAATGAGACTCATTGGATCGGTTGAGGCTAATGATCATATGCTTCAGTTCCCCGCCAAGAGTTCAAATATAGAAGTCATATATCTCCCGATAGAACTACCCGGCAATATCGAGAGACTGGTGCTTAAACGCAACAAAGATCTGCCATCTGATCCAGACTCGGAAGACGTATACTATTTCTCAAAAATTGACAAATATCTCGATCGACCAATAAATCTAAGACATTTAACATATCCCGAATATTATAAAGATTACACATTGAGATCAGCACAACATTTTAGTTGTGTTGGTAAAGATGATGACTGTTCGGATATAGAAGAAAGTGAAGAACAAGTAATTGAAGTAGAAAACAAATTAATAGATTGTAAGAAACGAACGGTAGTAAAGCGCAAACACTCTGCAGTCATTCGGTATCCGTTTCTCTTGCCGTATGGCAAAGATCAAGAGAAATATTATTTGAAAATAATTTTGCAAAAAATTCCTATCGATAGAAGTAATCTCCATGCATTAATATCGGAAGAGATCACTGAAGGCACATATATGAATGAATGTATGATAAGAAATCTCTGGGATCACGACTCAGCACTTGACTTTCTCGCAAACGCAGCGACAATGACTTTCAGCAAAGAGAAACTGATGAAAATTGCCGGAGAAATGATGAATAACAATTATATTACGGCTTTAGATTTAGAACAATTTGTAGGAACACTAGAAATTCGAGACCCACATCTAAGAGATTTCACGGATGAACACGAAATCGAAGATGACGATAAAGAAATTGATGTGAATTATCCTGTTCAACAGATTGTTCACAAACCACTTCAATATTATATCGACTCATTTAACAAAGAACAGGGACAGATATTTGATACAATTCGCGAGTCATTCAATGAAGGCAAACAGATGTGTGCTTGTATTGTTGGACCTGCAGGCACTGGAAAGAGTCATCTGTTGCAAGGATTGTGCGCATTAATAAAAGAACTAGACATTGGTGCGTTTCAAATACTTGCACCGACAGGTTCAGCCGCACATCTCGTGAAAGGCCAGACTATTCATTCATATTTTAAAATTGATTTGAAAAATAACTCTCACTTGAAAATCAATACAATTGAAGGGCAAATGCTGCAAATGTGCAAAGTGTTATTTATTGATGAAATGTCTATGATAACAAGTGTAGTGTTTGAAGAATTAGAAAAAACATGCAGATATATGAACAAATATAAAACATCGGGAAAGATTCAGCCGTTTGGTGGAAAGCACATCATTCTCTTCGGAGATCCGGCCCAACTCCCCACTCGATATCACGATCACATATATTGTAAAGATATATTTAGACACTTTAACATATTTGTATTGCAAGAAATTGTGCGTCAAGACAACAAAGAATTTGCTCAAATGTTACGAGAAGTTCGGTTGGGCCATCGTACGAAAGAAGTGGTCGCATATTTCAAACAACGAATGGTTAACGATTATGATATTAACGAAATAATTAATAAAAATCTACACGTTATTGTGTCTCTTTGCAAAAAGAGAGATGATATTAATAATAAAATATTAAACGCATTGCCTGGTGATTTCAAAGAATACAGGGCTCATGACACTAATGGCCACCACAAAACAATCGAATGTGAGTTGGAGAAAATGCAAATCGAAAATATTTCTGACAAATTACCAACTGTTTTGAAATTCAAAGTTGGAGCTATTGTTATTCTTCGCCGCAATTTAAACACCGCTGCGGGACATGTCAACGGAAGGGTTGCAAAAGTTAAAGTAATGGGAGAGCGATATGTAATCATCACAACACTCGACGAACCAATCGAAGACATACCAATTACTCCGATCAGACAATATCTGGAGTATTGCGGTCAAGAAGACCGGTTTATTAGAGAACAATTACCGCTCGAACTGGGATGGGCTGTAACAATACACCGAGTACAGGGTATGACACTCGACGACGTGTATGTATATTTAGACAAAGACATTTTTGAGTCAGGTCAGGCATACACCGCATTGTCACGGCCGCG